TATTTTTATCGACAATATGAAATCTAAATCGTATAGAAGTTATATTACGCGTGACGGTAAAGAATGATCGTGTCGGATTCATTCCTTTTCATCTTTCTTTTTTTTTTTTTTTCTTTTTTTTTTCTCTTTTTTTTCCGTATCTTTTCTTACATTAGATCATTCCCGTACTGTTGGTAATAACGTCGTTATTTATCTAACACCAATACGCGTAACTCATCGCCGAAAGAAAAGCATATTTTACCCTTGGGATAAGGGGACCCTTGGCCGTTCTCTCTCTCTCTCTCTCTCTCGCTCTTTTTTCTTTTTATCTCTCTTATGGTAGAAGACGTACAAAAATAAAATAAAAATGAAGAGAGAGAGGGAGAAAGAGAGAGAGAGAGAGAGAGAGAGAGAGAGAGAGAGGGAGAGAAAAGAAGAAACGATAACGTTCCTTTCTGTTAATAGATGCCGTGCATGATCCCTGATAATAGCTTACAAAAAAGCTATGCATTCAAGTAGGGATACCTTGTATTTTTGCTTCGTGGATCTCTTAAAGGTATAATTTCGTTACGATTACTTCCACAAATTACAGACTTCTCTTTGTACAGTCGATGAAGTATAATAACAAGTACCGACATTGTTATCCAAGTAGATACGCACGAAAATTAGAGCCGCGAAATTTTCTCACTGACAGTCTTTCTCAAAAAGAAAGTCTCTTTCTATCTCTATCTCTCTCTTTCTTTTTCTCATTTAGAAAAGAGAGAGAAATGTACGACGACAAAACTCCGTCGTTTCAGTTACATCCTATTATGATTTATTATTTACATTCATCGACGATCGCACGTGGGCATGGTTCACCTCCAAAGTCTTGTCAAAGGGCAACGTTAACATTCGCAAGAACCATTTTTATTCGATACATATGTGAAAATAATGTTTCCTTCGCTTTGCCGATATCAGAGACGATGTCTTTATCATTTCAATGACGACCGTCTTCAAACGGAAAGACAGATTTTGCCAACAGAAAGGTTTTGCGAATCTTTTTACTTATAAGATCGAAAGAAATGGACGACAGACAGACGAGCCTTTTAATTTACGAACATCGACAAACACGATCGTAGTTGGTGGTCCTCCTGACGTCGGTTAAAGTTAAAGAAATCAAAAAAAAAAAAAAAAAAAAAAAGAAAGAAAGATAGAAGGAACTGACTGTAAAAACGATACAAAGAAATGGATAAACCAGTTATTTAATAAAAACTAAACAGATGATTTTGAAATTTATATACAAACATCGTTTAAATTATAAAATCATTATATATATATATATATATATTATTTATTTTATTTATTTATTAATTTAATTATACATACATATATAATTAAATATTATATGTATATATATATATACATATAATTATTAATAAATTAATAAATATATTCTCTATATCGTTTCTCGCATTAATTATCATTCGCGTCAAAGTAAAATAACGAATTGAATGAGGGATTAAAAGGGACGCGGAATGGGAAGCGTAATGCTTTCAAAGGAAAAAAAAAAAAAGAAAAAAAAAAGAAGAACAAAGGAAAGAAAAAAAAGATTAAAAAAAAAAGATAAAATAAAATAAAATAAAATAAAAACGATTCGACGCTATCAGCCACTGACCCGAACACATCGCTGTTCATTTGATTATACGTTGCATCAGAGATCGTAGCACCGTTCGAGGGAAGCCCTTCCTCTTTCTCCTCTCTCGCTGTGAAAATTACGGCAATATAGGTACGTAGCTCGAACACCCTCTCTCTCTCTCTCTCTCTCTCTCTCTCTCGCTCTCTCTCTCTCTCTCTTTTGCTCGTACGAAGAAGGTCCCCTCTCTTTGATGCAATGGCCTACACTCGAGAAAAGACCTTCTTTACGCTCGAGCATAGCTCCTCGTCCGGGTTCTCCTCGCTTCCTGGATAATTTGAGCCCTTTTATATTACGCGTACGATGCGTCGTCGTCTTCGTTGTCGTCTTCTTCTTATTATTCTTTTTCTTTTCTTTTTCTTTTTCCTTTTCTCCTCCTCCTTCTGCTTCTTCTTCTTCTTCTTCTTCTTCTTCTTCTTCTTCTTACTTTGCTTCATGGTTGTTGTCAGTGGGCGTATATACGTTGTGGCCCGCGCGGTGGGGCCACGCGAGGAAAAATCACAGTCCTCCCCTCCCTCTTATACTCATGTGAGTCCTGATGCGTGAGCGTTCGTTCGTTTTATGAAACGCGAACGTCAGTGTCCTCTCGAACTACCTTACTAATGAGAGTAGTCTCTCTTTCCTTCCTCACTTCCTCTCTCTCTCTCTCTTCTTTTTTCTTTTTTTTTTGTACTCCCTCTTAACTTTCATACCATTTGAGATTAATCTAAGTAACCATAGTAATATTACATATATCTTTTTGTTTATCGTAAACATCTTGAAAATAATCTGCTCAAATAAGAAATGTTACGAATCAATAAAAAATCCTTTTCCTTTTCATTTTTCATTGAGATCTCAACTACATAACCCTCTTCCTTTTCTCTCTACCGTTTCATTACCAGAGGGAATAAAATGTAGATTTTTCGTATTTCGCGAAAGTAGGATTTAAAGGAAGTGTAAGAAGGAACGTATAGATGTGTATGTGTATATGTGTATGTGTGTGTGAGAGTGAGAGAGAAAGAAAGATGTTCAAAGTATCTCCGGTGGCTTTGAAGATGGCAATGTTCTTTTGTTCTGGTTTCGTTTCTTTCAAAAAAAAAAAAAAAAAAAAAAGAAAAAAAAGAAAAAAAAGAAAGAAAAAAAAGGGGTCGATGAAAGGATTGAAAAAGGGTCTAACAAAGGTGATGGGCGTGTATGGGCTGTATCCGCGCGCCTTCCCTTTTTCGAAGCTCGGTATTCAGCGTTTCGCAAACATGCGATCAAAATGAATACATTGTGATTCATACGAAGGTTAACGTCCTGCCTTATACAACAAACGCGTCGCGAATTCATCCCATCCCGTCCCATCCCATCCCACCTCACCCCCATTCAACAAGACTGCTAATTTTTCCAAGATATTATTTACAAGCGTGCTCGTTAATAGCACTAGCACGGGAACTTCCATCCTTCGATATACGTCGAGTAAGACGTGCTATCAACTTTTTTCTTGCATACACATATATGTATATATTATATACGTATATGTATATATATATATATATATATACATATATATATATATATATGCGTGAACACACGCGTTACGCTGTTTTAAACTTAATTTTAATAATATCTGTGATTGTCTCACCGGAAGGATTCTTCTTTTTCTTTTTCTTTCTCTTTTTCTTTTTTTCCTTTTTTGTTTTTTTTTTTGTCGGTATGTCCAGAATATCCCTTTAAATGTGAATGACCGATGAAAAGAGAGAGAGAGAGAGAGAGAGAGAGAGAGAGAGAGAGAGAGAGAGAGAGAGAGAGAGAGAGAGGGGAGGGAGCGGCTAGATTATTTATCCAAAGAATACGTATTATAAAAATTTATTAAATCTTCTAAATCTCGAAAGACTATTATCGATTTAAATTTTCCTTGGAAAAAGATCAGATATACTAAGTTGTAATCCATTCTATAAAAAAATGTATTCGTCCCAATGATTGAGAGCGATGATATTTGGAAAAAATTAATTTTCATATAACGTTAGTGTTTATTTAATATTAAATAATAACAAAAGATATAAAAGATATAATAATAAAAGATATATTTAAATGACAATATTAATTAATGATTTTTAGAATGATAACTTTTAAGGATCAAAAGGATTAATGTAAATCCACATATCCTATAATATATTTCTTAAAAACTTCACAATGCATTTCGTGCGGTCGAAATGGAAATAATAAAAAGAAATAATAAAAAAAAAAGAAAAAAAAAAAATTAAAACAAAATAAAACGAAATAAAATAAAATCGCATCAGAGCTCGATACCTGCTATATTTCGTTTCGTGGTAGCACGTTCTCAAGTTCCTTTAATTAATGTTTGTACGTTAAAGCCGTCAAGTAGCGTAGTACAGGTAGGATAGTTGGATAAGGGGATAAGGAGTAAGGCATGGGGGTAAGGAGGGTATGCGCAAAAGTGGAATAACCTTTCGTCTTGTCTCTGAAAGACGGTGCTACTTGGTGGAAAAGAAGGTTT